TTTGTAAGCAAATTCATAGACAAACCAATATTTTCCTATGAGAGCGGTTCATAAGTCAAAATGTTTGTAACTCGGGCCGTTCGTAAGTCAAGCCCCCACTGTATTAGTCCCAATGACAATAGATGCACAAAATGAATGGAACTGATGTAAGAGTTGATTCAATGGCTTAAATCCTGTTGCCTAACACCTGCAAAAGGGTTATTTTCAGTAATTAAAAAAAACATCATAATTCTCTCCTGTGGCACTTTTTACTCCTATGCAATCCTTATTATGATGAAGTCAGGTGAGCCACAGGACAGAAAGATGAAGCCTTTAAATACCATAACTTTTCCCCCCTGCACCCACCAGCAATGTCATCCAGTGGCAGTGATCTTCAGTAATTGAAGACTTCCTTCCATAATACGGCTCCAACACAATGAAAGGGATTGCACAGGAATTGGAAAAGCTATGGGACAGAAGGTGGAAGTTCTGAATTACCAAACATTACTGCTAGTTAGTGACATCTTTGTCTTTATCAAATTATGCAACAGGATTTTAGCCAGTAATTCCCACAATTGGGCTTAGAAGGGTCTAAGTACTGGATCTGGCCCTCTGATACCCCCAGAGTCATTTTGATGCTACTGCCCAAATAGCAAGATGGCCAAAATTCTACTTACCTTCAGCAGAACTCTGACCAAGCTACATCAAACTTCAAACAAGATTCTTCACAGACTTGTGCCAAACTTACCACTATTAAGACGTAGCTCTGCAAATAATGTCTGCCTAAAACCATAGCTCTTTTGAGGATTCTATGAAAAAAGGGGATCATTTGCTAATATTTTAATCACTAAGTCAAGAAAAACTGTAACAGTTGAGTTTAAAACAAGGCTATTTCTGTGCATTGTTTTATATATTGTGGTACACACATATTGCCTCAGTTATGAAGAATGCATAGATTTATATATTTTCATCTTTAAAATATATATAGGTGATGACTAGGAAACTACTACATTCTTAGTAATGTATATTTTAAAGGGGAAAGCCATGAGTCAAACAGGCCCTTTCATAAGGAAGAATCACTCTATATGTCTTAATTTCAGTGGTAGCATAGCCTATAGTGATTTATAGAAACTGTAAAATGTGAGTTGATTTTTACACAAAGATAGGTAATATATTTGAATGTTTATTAAATTTACGAACTGCATCTTGTGCTTTATCAGGCTGCTGAAGTGCTATACAAATGCAAACATAAAAAGACAAAAGCAGAAACCCTACCATGTGATAAAAATTGAGAGCATTAGAACTGAAGAATGACATGCATTGTTACAGAATATTAAAGCCATCTTCTAGGGAACCAAGTAATGTTGATATCCCACCTACAACAAGGTAAAGGAGAAGTCAGTCTCACTTTCCTGCAAGTTTTACAGTGGATGCCTGTGTGCTATCAAAAAGGCTTTATCTCAAGCACCTTTCAGCCCCGCCTCTCCAATTGATGGGATATATTATAGAACTTATGATGATGATAGCAAATCATGGGTAAATTCATATGAAAATTCGTATGATTCTTCCAGTATCCTGGTAGAAGCCCATTTAGGGTTGGTCAAAACAAGCATATTAAGCCATGCACAGAAATAACCCGGAAGCCAGTGACACTTATCCAGGACTGTGAGCTACACAACTGACAAAAGTCTGGATTCAGCATTTTGTATTGGATGCAGTGTCTGATCACTTTCCAAAGGCAGCCCCATAGTGAACACATTCCATTTAATCTAATTGATGCATGAAACACCACTACCAGATTTTTAACACTTCCTTGCCAGAACAGATGGCACTGTTAACCCTGTTTACAATATCTGCTTCTCACTCTCAGGCTGAAAACCATTGATTTCCCCCCTTACATGGAGTTCTAAACTGTTTTAGTTTTTAAAGTATGAGCTCAAGACTTAGTTCAGAATATAAGAAGCGAACAATTAAAGAGCCTCAATGTCAGTTTAGGCAGCTAGAAAAATAAGCACTGATGTACCCTAAAAATAGTTGTGGTATATCCTGAGGTCAAAATATTCATTTCAGAAAAGAACACATATAATGGAGAAGGAGAGTGGAATGTATTTTTATTATGATGTTACAACACAGTTAAAACATGTAAACCTATATTCCTTTGATTCCAGCCAACCTGAGTCAAAGTGGAGATTGCTTATTCAGCACTTGCAGTTAAGGGAGTCCAAGGGATGTTAAAAATTTCCTGGATCAAAATGGTTTGTTCATTGTGAATAAATAAAGATGAGGAAAGAATAAAATACAGAAATACTGTATAGAACTTTGGTCATTCAACCAGAAACCAAGAAATACAGATTGTTATAGGAGATCATTTGAGCCAAGCATATGAAAAGCAGCACAAGGTGGTGGAACCAAGGAAATTGGTTTAGATGCTGAACATAATTGTTCAGAACCATAATGACTAGATAGGATAATGTTACCTTTCTAATAGAAGAACAAGTGTTCACTAGAAAATTCCCACGTCTGAAGTAGCCCTAGCCACTCCCTCACACTGAATCTAGGTTTAGGCCAGACCTGGGCAAAGTGTGGCCCGAGGGCTACATACAGCCCGCGAGCCGCTCCTGTCTGGTCCGTGATGTTCAGTTTTGAACATCAAAACCATTTATAGCTTTTTGTCTAAAGTTGATCAGTTGCTTATCTTTAACATATCGCAAAAAAACTCCTTAGTATTTGTGAAGATTAACAAGTTTAAAATAACATCAATCATAACATCACTTTCTTTTTTTCTTAAGTAAAGTTGGTTCGGCCCCCGAACACAGTTCGGATTTTTCATGTGCCCCCCCCAATAGAAATTAATTCCCCCCCCCCCGTTTTGGCGAAACTCCTCATTTATACTGTAATATATTCAAAGTCACCACCACCCAAGCTTCAGAAAATGAACGTTGTCAGGGTCCCATGGAGTACCTCCTTTTACTCTTCTTTCTTATTCATATATTCACTTCTGTTTTAGATATTGCTTTTCTGCCCACCAAAGCACTCAAAGCAATTTCCAATACAGGTACTGTACTTGGAAGAGTTCTTGTCGCTGTTCAACATTCTATGAGAACTTGGCGCACGTAACGCCCCTCGAGGGGGAGGGCCAGCACAGAGGCCCCGCCCACCCCGCAAAACAGGTTTCTGTTTGGGTGGCCAGACGCCCAGCCAATGAGGAAGCGCTGCTTGCAGGCAGGGAAGAGGCCGGCGTTCGAGACACGCTCGCCCCAAAAGTCATTAAGGAGAGAGGCAGGCCGGCGAGGGTCGGTCTCTGAGGGTGGGCACGAGTCCTCTCCCACGACTTGCAACCTCTTATTATCTTATCGCTGATTTATTATCATTATTATCATTATCATTATTGTCGTCGTCGTTGTTTATATAATAATGATGATGATGATGATGATGATAATAATAAGCAGCGTGCAAACAAAAAATCGGCGTCAAATACTTTGTTTGCTTGCTGTTCTTTGCTCCGGAACTCCAACGCAGACTCCAGCCTCTTATCCCGATTTTGCAGCCTGCTTTTTCTTCTTCCAGTCCGTCCTCCTTAAGAGCACGGCAGGAGCAAAGAGCCGCCGCCTAGCGCTAACGCGGGTCTACCCACGCATCCGCGCTGCAGGTGTTTCAGACGTCTTTTCCCACGTGTGCGGCTTGCGTGCCCAAATTTTGCAGCATTTCCTAAACTACCACAACAAGGAAGACGAAGAAGAAAGCGCGGGCTTTTCTCCGGCACTCTTTCCCAGCTGTTTGGGACCACAGGAGACCCCCCCCCCGAAGCTGGAGCAGTTCCCCATGGAAAGAGCAAGAGAATCCCGAAAGGCCCGTCCTCGTTCCTATTGGCTCACGCTGGCGGGACGCTGCCAACTCCCGACGTCTCATTGGCTAGAGCTTTCCTCCTCCCGCCGGAGCTAATTGGAGGAGCTCCAACGACGGGAGAGAGAGAGAGAGAGAGAGAGAGAAAGCGAGGCTCGAATAAGAGAGGCAGTGGTAGAGGAACGGGGAGGAGCCCTTTCCCCTCAGGTCACCTGCAGGTGGGGCGGTTTCCCCGCGGGCGTGTTCGCGCATGCTCTCTCGCTTCGCCGGCGAGGAGGAGTTGGAGGCGTTGCGAGGGGGGGAGGAGGAGGGGCCTGCCGGTAGTCGCGGCTTTACTCCCTCCTTTCCCCCCTCCCCCGTTGGCGGGCGCCGGGCTTCCCTCGGATTTGCCGTTGAAAGGGAGCGCGCTTGCAGCTGCTGTCACGGGGGGGGGAAGAAAAGGCTGGGAAGGAAGTGAGAGAAACAAAGAACATGGCGAAGCTTTGCGAGAGAGAGAGAGAGAAGGAGGGGGGGAAGGAGCGAAGAGGTGGAGTCGGGGTGTGTGTGTGTGTGTGAGAGTGCGTGTTTGTGTGTGTGAGAGTGAGTGTGCGACGAGAGCTCCGTCCCTTCCGCCCCCTTGGAAAGGAAAGAAGGCAGGGAAAGGGCAGTTTCGTGTGGGGAGGACAATGCCCGCCCGGCCGTGTTCCCGAGGGAGAAGGCGGCGGCAGGAAGGGAGCAAAAGGGAGCAAAGAGCGGCGGAAAGAGTTTTGTCCTTGGGCGGATTTTCGGGGCTTGGTCTTCGGGGGTGGGGTGGGCCGGTGGGGCGACGCGGGACTGGGCAAGGCGTCACTTTCTGCAAGTTGCGCGAAGTGTTTTCTCGACTTGCCCAGCGCGCCTCCTCCTCCTCCACCACCCACCATCAC